CTATCTATCTATCTATCTATCTATCTATCTATCTATATATATATATATATATAATATATATATATATATATATATATATATATATATATATATATATATATATATATATACATGTCTTTCTCTCTTTCCCTATCTCTCTCTCTATCTATCTATCTATATATATTTCTCTCGTTCCTTATCTCTCTCTCTCTCTCTCTCTCTCTCTCTCTCTCTCTCTCTCTCTCTCTCTCTCTCTCTCTCTCTCTCTCTCTCTCTCTCTCTAAGAAACAACGTGATGCCGTTTCTGGTAATTTGTCAATCTGTACTACGTGCCTAATTGCATTCAACAATATGGATTGTGCAATCACTTTTCCTTTCTAAGATCAGAATGATGATGCTTTAACGAATGTACTAAATTCTGAGAATTACACCCAAGTTATTGGCTTAGAAGTACTAGAATCAAGAACGTTCCATAATGTTAAAATCAACGCCTCAGATGACCATTTTAATTCTTTTGATTCTCTAGGAGCAGATAATTTCCTGCCTGATTTACTTAACGTGATTAATACAAATCATTCTTGTTTTTTCCTGATTCTATTACTTCTAACAGTGCATCTAATACTTATGTGTCTATTATCAGCCGTAACATCTGTAGCCAACCTAATAATTTTGATGAATTAAATTTTTAATGTTTACATCCGAATAGTTTCTTTTCTGAAACTAGATTTACTCAAGGCATTCAACACCTCTTCACACTCCCCGACTACCATGCATTCTTCTCGCACCACTCTAGAAACAGCGGGGGCGTTGCCCTCTACGTTCATGACAGACTTTCCTCTCGTGATCTGATGATCTGTCTTTCCAAGATTTTATCGAGTCAGTTTTTTACTGAAGTATTAACAACGAAAGCTTATTGATTGGTCAGTTGTATAGGCGCCCAAAAAGTATCTTTTCCATTTTTCTGGAAAAATTTCAGCTCATAATCGAGACAAGAAAAACAAGAAAACAAGAAGTGTCTCATCTGTGGGGATTTTAACCTAGGCCTCCTCAATGCCGCTTCTGATAAGAAAGTTAGGGAAACCGTATCAGCTTTTAACTCGAGGCTCTTTTCTCAGCAGTCACTAGAGCTACTAGAGTACAAGGCAACTCCGCCTCCCTAATTGATCATGCCTGGACATTTTGTTTAATCAAAATTACAATCAAGTGGGGTCATATAATGCCATATATCAGAGCATTTACCCGTTTTTAGTACTTTTAGCCTAGAATTACAACATAATGAACCTAAAACCGAGAAAACATTTTACTATCGCGACTATAACGAATCCAATATAACCGATTTTAAAAGTCGCCTTACTGTTGGGACCTCGTGTTTGCTTCTCGCAATCCCGAAGTTGCCCATGAAAATTTCATTAGTCTTTTATCCCCTCTTTTGAAAGATCTTTCACATTAAAATATAAGTCACTGAAATTCAAATTCTTCAAGAAACCACACATTACCTGTGAAATAAGAAACTTAAAGCAAAAAAGTGACCACTCTCCTAAGGCGAGACATTTCGGTCTGTACGCAAAGGCAGATTACTACACAATGAAGCTTAAATAAAGTGCAGGTGATACTAAGAAGACATGGCAAATTCTAAACGATATTTAACATAGAAATAATAAACTAAAATCCAACAAAATACAAATAGATGAGAAAGAAATTAATGGCCCCAACATCATTACTAATGAAGTCGCCAAATATTTTACAAGCATAGGTGAAAACCATCGCGATTAACCCCTAACGTGGACAGTGACTTTAAAGAATTTCTCGGGCCCTCCAACAACAACCACATGAGCCTAACACCGGTAACAGACCGAGATATTATTAACGTTGTCAATGGACTTTAAACCCCTGAAACATATTACTATTTCCTTTAGTATGGGAGTATTTCCCACGAAACTAAAAATTGCTAAAGTGTATAGATTAACGGATTTTCTTTATTAAAATCATATAATTAACAATTGTCAGTATGTTTCTTGAAGAACAAATCATCTGAATTTGCGGTTTCAGATTTTACAAATAAAACTTTAATATCTTTTGACGGTCGTTAATTTACTCTTGCTACATCCTTAGACCTTTCTAAAGCATTCGATACGGTCAACCATTGTGTTCGTTTAGAAAACTTATACAATTACGGTATAAAGGGAAGTGTGCATGCTTGGTTCGCCTCATATCTGTCAAACCGCACACAGTATGTAGTTTTCAATGACTGCAATTCCTCTTAAAGAACTATTGCACATGGAGTTCCACAAGGCTCCATCTTTCGACCCATTCTCTTCCTTCTATATATCAATGATATTGTTAATGCGATTTGTCTCGGCTTCACACTCTAAGCCGATGATGCTTGCTGTTACGCTCCGGGACACCATTATAGATTTAATCAACACCATAAACAGTGAAATGACAAGCATAAGAAGATTGATAATTCTAAATAAGCTTACCCCGAATGTCGATAAGACACATTATATATTTTTTTTTCACA